ATCCTTTTCTATGTTTTGGAATAGTTTGAATAGGATTGGTCTCTCCATCCTTGTACAGCAAAATTCCTCAAAAGAAACAGAACTATCCTAACTTGCAATCTCCAATTTCTCTCCTACTCCTTCTTGAACTCCCTTCAATTAGGCCTTATCTCCCACCATTTTATGCAAACTACGGTCTTCAAGTCACAAATGACCTTCACATTGCAAAATCCAATTCTATTCCTCATCTGATTTGACCTCTAAGCAACAGTTACAACAATTTTGATCTGTTTTCTCTTCCTAGAAACACTTTCTTCACTTGGCTTCCAAGCCATTTTTTGTGGCTTCCTGCCTACCTCTGTGGTCCCCTTTGTAGGCTGCTTATCAGCTCTTAGACTTTTAAATGCTGGAGTATCCCAAGTCAGGACACACACTTTCTATCTATACTCACTTCTTTAGCACTTAAGGTCAGTTTTGTGGCTTTAAATATCAAGTATATGCTGATGAATATCAAATTTGTATCTCTGGGCTGGATCTCCCTTTTTATATTCGTATATTCAACAGCCTACTTGATACACATCTCCACTTAGATGAGAGGCATCTCAATCTTAGTATGTCCCAAAGAGACTCCTGACACACTTCCCTGCTCTAAATCTGCTCCTCTCAAAGTCTTTTCTGTTTCAGGAAATGACAATCTGTCCTTCCATTTGCTCAGGCCAAATATCATGGAGTCTTCTTAATTCTTCTCCTTCTCTCCTGACCCATAACTAATCCATTAAAACTTGTTAGTGCCACTTACAAAGTATATTCAGAATTCCACTACTTTTTACCACTTCTGCTTTTAACCTACTAGCCCCAAACACTATCATCTGTTTCCTGGATTACTGCAAAAGCTTCCTGACTGCTCTCCCTATAGTCCATCCTCAACAGAGTAGCCAGAGTGATTCTGTTAAAATGTTAAGGTAGATCATATCACTTCCCTGCTCAAGAGGGAAGGAGAGGCTAGAAAATGTCCAGTGTGATTTTATCAGGTGGTTGCTGAAGAACCTTTGTTAAGCCAGTTTCAGTGATGTGATGGAGGCAGAAGCCAGATCCCCTTAAAAACATATCAGCAACAGAAAAGCTCTGCAACTTTAGAGGCTCCCCTACCCATCAGTTGTTAAAGGGCCCTGTCACAGTGCAGTAAGACTGGGGATTCTCCGGAATAAATTTTAGTCACCAAAAATAGATAAAGTTAAGTTAGCTATAGGAAAATTAAGAAAAATACCATAATTTAAGAAAGATTTGAATACTATGGAGGCTGGTTCTGAAATGGCTTTAATTAACTTATCAGGAAAACTCAGTTCTGTGGTAACACCCATAAGTGACAGAGAACAAATAACTGAGGCATTAAAACATCTAGATATAATACTGTTTCTGTGAGTTGAAAATATTTTTTTGAATATAAAGTTACAATAAATAAATGTACTATCTGTACTAAGTTCTCATAATGCTACTTACTTGTGGGACTATTCAATTTTAAGTAAAGTACTTGGAATTTTCAGAATACTACTAAATAATGCAAATTTGTTCTATCGTATTATTAGTTGAGGTAGTTAAAAGTGGCAACTTTTTAATATACCCCAGATCCCAAAGTTTGTACTGCAAGTTACATCAGAAAAAGCTTTAAGGTTTAATCAAGTTTGCTGAGGAGCAATATAAAGCTGGTAATTCAGCTTTTAAGTTTGAGCTCTGAGAAGAAAAACTAGATGACTGGGACTTTGTAAAAATTAAATTCTTATATGGATCAAAAGATTTCTCCAAAAGAGTCAAAAGAGAACCTACAGATTGGGAAAAAGTATTTGGCAACAACATGTTTAACAAGGGACTTACCCTAAAATTTATAGAAAACTTTAACACCTCAACATCAAAAAGACAAACAATCCAATTCAAAAATGGGCAAAGGACATGAACAGGCACTTCACCAAAGAAGACATTCAGCCAACCAACAAAAACATGAAGAAATGTTCATGACGATTAGCCACTATCCACTGCCCTAAAGTTGATTCTGACTCCCATTGGGTTTCCAAGGCCAGAAATCTTTATGGAAGTAGACTGCCTTGTCTTCTTTCCATGGAGTAGCTGATGGGTTTGAACTGCCAACCTTCTTGTTAGCAGTCAAATCCCTTAGGTATTGTGCCACCCCACTAGAGAGATGCAAATCAACACAACAATGATATCATCTCACTCCATCAATAATAACATAGTTCAGCAGGATAGAAAGCCACCAATGCTGGCAAGGGTGTGGCAAAATTGAAGCTCTCATACACTGCTGGTGGGACTATAAAATGGGACAACCAATGTGGAAAATGGTATGGTATTTCCTTAAAATGTTGGAAATACAAATACCATTTGATCCAGCAGTCCCATTACTAGGAATAGATCCTACAGAGGTGAGATCTAGGAAACAAATAGATACATGCACACCCACGTTCAGCAGCACTATTTACAACAGCAAAAGGATGGAAACAACCTAAATGCTCATTAACCGATGAACGGATAACCATTGTGTATACATACATACAATGGAATATTATGTAACATTAAAGAATAATGAAGAATCAGCAAATCACCTCATAATGTGGATGAACTTGGAGGACATTATGTTGAATGAAATAAGTCAACCACATAAGGACAAATATTGGTGAGTCCATATTGTGAAAAGTCAAGGAAAGGTTCACAGAGCGAAGGAAAGTTTCTTTGTTGATTACCAGGGATGGGAAGCAGATTTGATATGGGTGAAGGGAAAAGCAATATAATGAAAGTGTGGGATTAGCACAATATATCACTAAGGAAAAGGAAGACATGGAGAGGTGCACAAAAGGTACAGACAATGAAGGCAAATACTACTACAGACACAATATTGCATTAACAGTAACAGTAAACACAAATCTATGGTGGATACACAGGTAGACAGGTATGGACAGGCAAATGGGAACATAACCACAATCATACATAGGTTTAAACCAAACCAAAGTCACTGCTGTTGAGTCGGATCCGACTCATAGCGACCCCTCCTGGCGTTTCTGAGGTGGTATCACTAAGGAAGTAGATTGCCCAATTTTCCTTCCAAGGAGAGGCTGGTGGGTTTGAACCATCAGCCTTCTGGTTAGCAGTCAGGTTTGGCAGACGAAAAAATTAAGAAAAAAAGAGGAAGCGAGAAAAACGAAAACAAAGCAGAGCTCTACAGGCTTTGCTGTCAGAAATCTAGGTAACATGGTAAAACAGACTCACAGTAAATACAATGGCAGGTAAAGCAAGAGTCTTCATACTTTAATGCTAAGTGCTTCTGATTGCCAGTGGCAGAAGTGAGAGAAACGTTATGATGTTTTTTTTTTTTTAAAAAGAAAGGAAGAAGACATAAAGAACAAAGAAAGACATAACCAGGAGAGGTTAAGAGAAAACAGGAGAGAAGAAAGGAGACAAATGTAGTATAGATGGCTATGTGCCACTAACAAATGACTTAGATGCCACAAAGCAATGCTAACGTCACAAATGCTACAGGTTCAGAATACTGGCAGTTGGCAGCCATCCACTCTAGTGTTTACTAACTAGTCAAAATTATGACATCTGTTGATTTCTCCAGCATGTAACATTCCCATGTGTTCAAAAGCTTCTGAAAAAAATATTCATGATGGTAACAGAAGCTAGTGATCTTATACTCTGTCAATGGTAAATTTAAATTTATCAAGGTTACAAAGCCATACCTGTTAGTCGAGGAATAATTGTTTTATTGATAACAGCAGCCAAGATTTTTGTATCAGAACTATCTTCCTTCCTTGAATCTTTTACACTGTTACTCACATATTCTTCTATAGATGTGAACCACAGCATCTGTTTCAAACCTATGGAATTTAGCTTATAAATAAAATTACAAAGGTTATCAATGAATTCTTAAACATTAGTTTATCTTAAGATAGTTAACTTTTTCAATAATCACCAGAGCTTTTCTAAGGCCCAAGGGAGAATAATTCCATTATCTCAACATTGTATATGCAGCAGTAGGCCAGGATAGCATGACTAAGATGGGATGTCTAAATAATATAAGAAGCTGCATTGCATGCCTTAATTCATATAATAAATGCTCAGCAGGTACCCACTGTGTGCCAGGACCTTCAGAACCTACCACATGGCAAGAACTCTTTTAGAAACAAAATTCATTTATTATTTTAATAATATCCATGGAAAGTATTCATAAAAATTGATCTGTCCTAAGCAAAATTCAATTCCGTTTTCCTCCATTTTCATAAGCACAAACATATAATTTGCGTGTGGGTTGGCTTACCAGACAAATAGCAGATGCTCCATTATTCTTTGTTGAATGAATGAAAACATTTCTGCTAGGCAAAAGACAGTGCTCAATTCAGCCTGACTAACACCTAGGCTACAGCCCAATGAACTACCTAGCAACATCCTAGGGATAAAAGAGTGGTTCTTGTACTGTGAAGATTATAGATTCCTGAGCCTAACAAAGTGCCAATGGGCCAGCATGACTAAAGCAGAGAAAGATAAATGGGCATGGCTCCATTCTTTACTTTACTAAGTCTTTACCTTCAGCTCTCATCTCTTCCTAGAACTTCAGTTTCTCATTTCTGTTTGCTTACTAGGCATACTTATGTAAACGATCTACTGTCATTTAATTATCCACAGAGAGAAACTTCCATCCTACCTTTTCTCCTTCTGGAAAGACCCCATGTCTATTAATCACTATTCTCCTCGTAAGCTGGAATCCAAACCCTTTGGATCATCTTTGGATTTGAAGGGTTAGGGTAATTCTCCACATTTTATTGATTCTTATGTCATAACACCTCTTATAATCAACTTCTCTCCCCTTTGTCACTATCACCCTGACTGAGAAATTAATCACCTTGAACTTAGCCTTTGAGTGTGTATCACCACCTCTGATCTCCCTTTTCTTCAAGTTAGATTATTGCTAGGGCTTCTTAAACATTGTTTTCATCATACACTATTACTTACTAAGACAAAACTTTCCTAAAAACCTTCTTTGAATTTCTCCTCCTCAATACAGCTTCTTAATCAACCCTTCCCAATACATCATTTCCAACTTCAGAACTCTTAGAACAAGATTCCAAGGTTTAACTTCCCCACACAGACTACAAAATTCTTCAAGTACAATACCATCTTAAGAAGCTAAAAAAAAAAATAAGTATATCTGCTTTACTAATGTTTAATGTTACTAAGCCTTAAAAATCACGTGAGGACCAAAAAATGAAGAATACAGTCTAAAGTACACATTTCCATACTATTGCTCCAAAGCAGTAATTATCAGGTCCAATTCTATGGGTGAGGGATTTTACAGCTAACCTGGTAGCAAGAGACTTCAAGTAACTAATATGATCAGGATTAGTTTTTCATATGTTAAGCACGATTACCTTAAGAGGATTCCAATCAATCAACTGAATCCGTATTAGGGGATTTAAAAGCTTTGGTATGCAAAAACTAATGAAAGCTTCATAATAGGATTCAGGAAACTTTTCTCGCCATTGCTGAAATTTCAGTAAAATATTCTGAATGTTACAAAAATCATCATGCACATCTTCAAAAATCTTCTTATGATCCTGTAAAATGTCACCTGTAAACAAAATAACTATGTTATGCATTTTAAGTGTAATTTTAAGTTTGCTTCATTATAAACTAAGTCATGACTACACAACAAATTCAACTGAAAAGTTTCTTTGCTATTAATGTATAAATTTGTTTTTATTAAGAATCACTTTAGTAACAGAGATAGCAACACTTAACAAATACCATTTATTGAGCCCTTGCTATGTGTCAAAACATTTCAATACAGTGTTATCTCATTTTACCACCGTAACTATCTGTTCTGTAAGGCAGGTGTTACTATACTATTTACAGGTTAAAAAAAAAAAAAAAGAACCAAAACAAGTAACAAGGTGGCTAGATTTACAGAGGTCAAGGAATGTGCCTGAGATCACACAACACAGAACAGAGCTCTTATTCAAATCCAAGTCTATTTGACTGCAAAGCCCACACTCTTTCAAATATACACATCTTACCATCTCATAATGCTAAAAATGGTCCCACAAAATTCAGTTGTTTTAAGTTAAAAATAATTATATAGAGAGTGTGGTGCTAAAATAAAACGAGTATGTTCAGGAGGTAAGAAAGGCTAAGGGAGAAAAAAAAACATAAAAATGCTTAAAATGCTTCTTCCCTGTTTTATCCAATTTTTTTTCCAGAGGCAGCAAATGAGTCTTAAAGGAACAATAATATTTGTTCTTTTTCCCCCTCAATTTTCCCAATTGTTTTATATAATTTAAGTGTTTCAGGATAAAAACAAAAACACAGCATAGCATTTCTCACAATTTCAATACTTTAAATTAAGACACATTAGAAACTTGAAGGAGCCCTGGTGGCACAGTGGCTCGGCTACTAAATGAAAGACACGTTAGAAACTTGGTAATTGACCTTGGCTGTTTTGGAAGTCAGTCATGTCTGCTGCAGGTAGTTCGTCATCACTAGATATTCCTTCCTCATGATTACAGTTCCCAGAAAGCACCCTTGCTTGTCTTCTCTGTACCCTGTATTTTGCAGTAAATCAAAGCTGAATTAAAAACAAACAACTCTTGCTGAAAATAAATCTTTTAAAACACAACTAAAGTAAAAATGCCCAGAAATACACCATAATATTAGCACATAGTTTTACATTAATATTTTTGAAATACTGTTAGCATTACTCTGCGTTTGTGAGTCTCCTTCTTTTCCCTTATCATAAGACATTCCCATTTAGGATACTGCCATGAGTTAACCAGAACTTAAAGATGGCTTCCTAGGATTGGCTTCTAGTTATGAACAATTTCCAGCCTGATAAATCCATTATGCCCATTCCTTTCAGCTGATCCAAATATATCAGTATGTCCTTAAACTCAGGTTGAGGAGTACTTAATTAAATTTTGGCATATTGTTTTTGCAAATTAAAGTCAGGTTATGATTAATTATACCACACGGCTTAATTAGGCTTAAGTAGTGAAGCTCACTTGCTCAATGATGCTGTAACTATTTACTTTATATAGCTACCTTCGAGATTCCATCTCTTCTAAAATCCATTGTGTTTTCTCATCTATAGCCATGCTTCCATTTGTTGATGTCTCAGCCTTGCCTGTTAATGCACAAAACTGATTTCATATGGCAGATTCTCTAGAAAAGTGAAATATTTTGAAAACAAATAATATCATGTGTGTAAATGCACACATATATATGTACATAAATACAAGGAGTTCTGGTGGCGCAGTGAGTAAGGAATTTGGCAGAAGGTTGGTTGTTCAAACCCACCAGCTGCTCCATAGGAGGATTATGAGGCAGTCTAGTTCAGTAAAGATTTACAGCCTTGGAAACCCAATGGGGGTCACTATGAGTAGCAATCTACTTGGAAGCACTGGGTATACATAAACATAATCACAAGTAATATGCTTAAATTTCATATGTCATGCAATGAATTTGTAATGTTAACTCCCTAATACAACATTTGCAGGCTTAAGTTTGCTTGCTTAAGAAAAGGTATCAAGGCTACTGATTATAGTTGAGCACACGAAAATAGTAACAAAACTACCATAAAATTTCCTCCCTTCAAAATTTTTTTCAGCAGTTTTCACCAATTTTTTTTCTGTTACTGTAGCCAAAGGCCAACAAAATTTGTATTACTAATGCTATTCAATCATTTCCTTTCACATTGTAACATAAACAAAATCTGTCGTCAAAGTGATTCCGATATACAGCTACTCTGCAGGGCAGAAGAGAACTGCTCCATAGCGTTTCCAAAGCTATAATTTTGACAAAAGCAGACTGTTGTATCTTTCTCCCATGAAGCAGCTAGTGGGATTGAACTGTTGACCTTTCAGTGAGCAGCCGAGAAGTTAACCACTGCACCACCAGGGATCCTTCCTATTTTAACATGTACACATAACTTATGACCAACAAAATGCCATGTGGTTGAAAGACACTTTGCCTTTATTGGCTACTTGCTTACAGTCTCAACTCTTTCACTATTTCGGCAATACCTTAATAAAAAGAAGACATTTCTGAAAAATAGAAAACCAGTGTGAGAACTAAAAGGAAGTATTTAAATCTTATATGGGACCTCACAAGTATATCTGTACCAAAACACATCAAGTTTTCTTTAACCTCCCTAACCAGTCTGTGTAAGGGCCCTAGAAACATTGTAGTTAGATCTCTGACACAGCCTACAGATTTATGTGAACTATCTCAAAAATAATCATTAAATGGGCCTTACAAATATTTTGTAACAAATACTAAATAATTAGAAGTTATCATTTTTCATTTTTAATCATAGAAGTAATTTAAGACATTTTAAAGCCTTAGCTCTAAGTGTTTTGGGTTTTCAGAAGTGGGTGGGTGAACAGTTAGGGGAAAATATGCTAAAAGTGGTTTTAGAGCAGGAATAAAATAAATTGTTCTTCAGCTGATAATAAATTACAATGAACATGAAAAAAACTAACGTGATAATTGTTGTAAATATGTTGATTCATGTTTTAATTCATCTTGCCTGCGCTTCATAAGGGTCATGGCTTGTTTTAAAAGGAGAGCATGCATGGATGATTCTATTTCTTGAATGCTGATAATCTGAAATACATAAATAAGTAACATTTTGCAGGTCATAAATAATGAACTATATAAAGCATGAAAACAGATGTTGCAGGACTGGATAGTGTTTCTTTCTGTTGTACATAGGGTTGCTGTGAGTCAGAAATGACAGCACCTGACAACAACATAAAAAAGTAATACATAGATAATATATATACACACATATATATTTATATACATAAATACATGTGTGTGTGTATATATATAAGTATATATATATATATATATATATATAATTTTCCCATAAAGAAGCATCTTCAATATCATATCTCAATCATAAAACACTGAGAAAAAGACTTAACTGCCAATACGTTCAATATTAAGAAACAGAAAATTAACTCAAAGTACTGGAAAAGGTATATCCACCTACCACCCTCGAATCTATCCCAACCCATAATGACCCTGTAGGACAGAGTAGAACTGCCCCATAAAGTGTCAAAGGCTGTAAATTTTTACAGACGCAGAGTGCCATATCTTTCTTCCACATGGCAGCTGGTGGATTTGAACTGCTGACTTTTGAGTTAGCAGATGAGGTCTTGATCACTGCACCACCAAGATTCCTTGGAACGGCTATAAAACACCAAACCAAACCCACTGCCGTGGAGTTGTATCCGACTCATAACGACCCTTCCTTGGGTTTCTGAGGCAGTATCACTATGGAAGCAGATTGGCCAACCTTCCTTCCGAGAGTGGCTGGTGGGTTTGAAACGCCAGCTTTCTCGTTAGCAGTCAAATGCCTTAGGCATTATACTACCAGAGCTCCTTGGAACAGCTATGTTGTTGTTATTTGTTGTTATTTGCCGTCGAGTCAGCCCCGACTCATAGCGAGTCGGCCCCGACTTATAGCGACCCCTCCTTGGGTTTCCGAGGCAGTATCACTACGGAAGTAGGATTGCCCAACCTTTCTTCCAAGGAGTGGCTGGTGGGTTTGAACCGCCAGCCTTCTGGTTAGCAGTCAAGTGCCTTAGGCACTATGCTACCTATACCTATCTATAAATACTGAAACCCAATGAGATAAAGTCAGGAACATGGAGGAAGTAGCCTTAGATAAGAGGAAAGATCCTTCTTCCTCTGTGATAGGACAGAAGGAGGAAAAGACAGATGCAGTTATTACTTAAAAGCTGAGAGGGCAGCCTGGAGTGGGGCACTTGAGGTAATTGGTAAAGTTAGAAAAATTAAAGAATGAAAGAGATCTAATCAGAAATAAGTAAGAAAGCTGTGGGGCAGAATTGAGGGACATGGTACTTTTACATTTCTTGGGCAACATTAATTAATGCGTAAGGTGACAAGATTTAACAATGTAATTCAATTCACCTCAAGGAAGAATTTAAAAAAAGAATTAGATTGTAATAAACACTTTAGAAATAACTACTACGCGACATTGTAAGGTAGCCAACTTAAATGAATAATAACAGAGAAAGTTTCCAATCATTTTGGAACATTTAAAAACTAAATAAAAAACAATATGCAAAGCAGAGTGCAATTTAATTTAAACATGGTTAGTCTATTTATAAAAAAGAAATAAAGGAGAAATGAGGACTCCAGTGGAAGGACTTAGTATGTGTAAAACAAAAACAGAAACTATAAAGATTGATAAATCTGTTAACAAAAAATTTTGAAAACATTTGAGTGTCAAAAAACCATCACAAAATCAACTAGAAAGTTTCTCTGGCATAACATAATCTGGTATCCTGTAATAACATGTTTGCAAATAAAATGCTCATGTAAATAACATGCACACGCACAGCGTGCATAGGAAACTAATGTGCAAGGGGGTTCTGTGGTTGGCAAGAAAACTATAACTTACACATTATTTGCATAAAAATACATTTTATCACATTGGATAGAGTATTAACCTTTTTAAACTATAAAGAAATGTTCATCAAATAAGTTAAAAAAGAAAATAGAAAAAACTCCCCATCAAGAAGCAAAAAGATAACAGTGCAAAGGTGGTGAACAAATAATTCGTAAGAGAAAGTATAGACAGCAAATGAAACAAAGGGTTTGTCTGACATCAAAATATAATCTATAGAAACAAAACCCATTTTTTAAAAATCTAGTAAACTAATAAAATAAACTTGGCACTATATTTCTGTAGGACAATTTGGCAGCATGTTTTATAAGCCCCCAAAATACTAAGACCCTTTGACCTAATAATTGACTTTCTAGGGATTTTTCTTACAAATAGATGAAATTTTTCATACAAAAGTTAGAACAAAATTGTATATAGTACTATTTATAATAGCAACATAACTATAAAACACCCAAATCCATCATTAGAGGAGTATTTAATATTTTGTCAAAAATGTATAAGGAAATACACAAGAAGAAAGTATTTAGATGTAGTATTTAGATTTAGGGAGCTCTGGTAGGGTAGTGCCTAAGATACTTGACTGCTAACCAGAAGGCTGGTGGTTCAAACCCACCAGCCACTCCTCGGAAGAAAGATGAGGCAATCTACTTCCGTAGTGATACTGCCTCGGCAGCCCAAGGAGGGGTCGCTATGAGTTGGGTTTGACTCGATGGCACATAACAACAAAATTTAGATTTAGTATTTAGATTTTTTTTTTTAACTTCATGGGAAGTAGGTCCGTCCAGAAACAGAAAATAATATTAATAAATACAGTCAAGTACCTTTTCATTAAGACAGTCAATTAAATTTTCCACATAAATTTTCATGCTTTTATAGAATTTATAATTCAGAGCTTGATTTGATGAATTTTCTAGGTTCTGGATCATACTCTTTGAGCTCTTGACATCTTGTATGTATTTTTCATATTCTCTCAGGTGTGCACGGTGAGTGTCCTGTAATAACATTAATCTAAACAAATAAAATAAATACTGCTTTATTTTCAAAACTTTAATTTCTACTATAATAAGCAACAATCTAATGAAATTTGTTTCAAAGCTCCCTTATAAAGACCACCAAGAAAACTGCTAGTTCTAATTATATAAAGCTGGGTTCATTAGACTTGCTGAGCAAAGGAAAGTATCACACGGGCAAACAACGCAATGCAACTCACTGCCTTCGAGTCAGACCTGACTCATAGCAACCCCTCCTTGGGTTTCTGAGGCAGTATCACTACAGAACTAGATTGCCTAACCTTCCTTCCGAGGAGTTTGAACTAGCAGCCTTCTGGTTAGCAGTCAAATGAAAAAAGGAGAAAGGTGGTAAAGGGCACTTACAAGTATTTAGGGACTGGAGTTCATTATTTTACTTGGCTGCTAACCAAAAGGTTGGTCATTCAAACTAACCCAGAGGCTCATCAGGAAAAGGAACTGGTGATGTGTTTCTGTGAAGATTACAGCCTAGAAAATCCTATGAGGCAGTTCTACTCTGTCACATGGGTCACTCTGAGTGAAAATAGACTCAAAAGCACTCAACAACAAAAAAGTAAGATAACTAACCTTCAGAAAGGCAATGTGTGTCAAGTCATAAACATATGCATAATCATTGCTAAGGTTAACCTACTGAGGAAATTCATGGTAAGAAATTTTTTAACACACTAAAAGACTTACAGGAATAAAATGTTCACTGTCTATAGCATTATGTGTAATTGAGAAAATTTTAAAATCAAAATGTTCAACAGAGAAGTACTGTGATAGTTGGAGCAGTGTGTCAACTTGGCTGGACCCCAGTTCTGTGTGGTTGTTCCCATGATGGGATCAGATGACTGTGTTCTGAGTGGCCAGTCTGCCCAAGGGGAGTTTCCCTAGGGGTGTGGCCTGCTTCCAATATATCCAGGGACATCCTGGGAAGAGCCACATTTCTGGAGGGATTAGAATCCTGGTGTGCGGACTACAAACTTCCGTGAGGGAGCGGCCCACCGCTCAGCCTGGAGATCTCGGATTCGTCTTTTGTTGGAGCCAACAACTAGCGCACTGCCTGCCAGCTTTGAATCTCTCGGCCCCCCGCACTTACGGAAGCTAAGGCTGTTGCCAGCCCATTTTCCTCCAGAGACTTGGACTTGTCGGCTTCTATATGCTTGTGAGCTCTTTTCCTAAGATAAATTTCTCTCTCTCTCTCTCTATAAGTATATATATATATATACTTGCTGGTTTTTGTGTTTCTCTAGAGAACCCAATCTAACACAAGTACTCAAAACTAAATTAAATTATGTCAACTGTGTGGATGAAAATGGACTTAAAAAAAACTAAAGGCTATTCAACAATGCTAAAAAATGCTTAAGACCATGTTAAGTAAAAAGCAGACAACATAAACAGTGTAATATATATCTAGGGGCTCTGGTGGCACAGTGGTTAAAATACTTGGCTGCTAACCAAAAACTGAGCAGTTTAAACCCACTAGCTGCTTCATGGGAGAAAGATGAGGCAGTCTGCTTCCGTAAAGATTTATAGCCTTGGGCACCTTATGGGACAGTTCTATTCTGTCCTACAAAGTTGCTATGAGTCTGAAGCAAATTGATGGCAGTGGGTTTTATTTTTTAAAATGTACCTATTATAAAAACTAAAAATACATATAAAAAAATACATACAGAAAAACAATGTTAATGTGTTAGTGTGCTAATGCAGGAGATGCTATTTTTTCCCACAAATCTGCTCAACATTTACATTTAAATATAAGTACAAACACTGCTAATTTGTTTTACAATTAAGTGTCTAGGGCAAATATAAATTTAAAAATGAATGTTACTTACCTAGTATTTAACTGCCTCTTTATAATTTCTAAATTTACTGGTGGAAATGAAATAGAAGTATCAAATTTCTTCACTTTTTGAGATTCACTGCTGTGAGAAAGGTCTGTATCTCTTCCCTAAAAATAATATGAAAGCTTATGTATTTTTAAACATTTAATTTACCTTATAAATGTTAATAGCATGAAAGGAGATTTGATACTCTCTGGTTTCTGTCAGCTCAAAAATTCACGCCTATTCAAATCTTCATAAAAACAAAGTATTTTTAAAATCCCCACATACTCTTAAATTTAAAACTTTAAATTCACATATGAGAAGTAAATTAAAAGTCTTAGTATTTTGCAAAAGTTTGGTTCTCAAAGTTTTTAAAGCTAGTTTTGTTTACAGTCCAATGTACTCTCACAACGTAATGCAGTTTTTGAAGACTCAACAGTCCTTGGTGAATAGTACCTTGGGTGGTAGACACAGTTCTATGGCTAAACCAATACCTATTCCCCCAAAAGCTAAACAGCAGTTTTTCATGATAAAAGTAGCTATAAATTCATTCTGGTTATGAAAAGTAAATGGAAATCTACTGTAGGATTTCTAGATAAAGCTTTTACTTTTGTGTAAGCCACTGTATTTGAGTTTTCTGTTACTTGCAGAGTAACACATTCCTAGCTAATATGTCTAGTAACATGATACATACTTCACATTACTATCCTCTAGGTAATGACAGGTCATCAGCACCATGCTTAGAATGTTCAGAAAGTCCTGGAAAACCTTTACGTAGACAATGATATATAAACAAGCGGACCAGATATTTAGTCAACCCATTGGCTTAACTATCTTTTCTATATTTTTCATGAAGCATTATCATTTTTCACCTACACTTTCTAAATCTCCCATCCAGCTCCAATCTTACCTGCAAATGCTCAAACTAATCAGACCATTTTATACTTTTATGGCTTTACTCTTGATACTTTTGTCTCAAATCCCTCACATCATAAACACTTCAAAGACTCATTCAAATATCATACTTTGGCAGAGACTTGTCCAAGGATTATCCATGAATCCTCTTTCCTAAAAAACAGACCACTCATTTGCTCCTTTGTGCCATCTCAGAAGTTGTCATAGAACCTGTAAGATTATATTATCCTTATTTTGTTTAACTGTCTCTCCTCTGCAAAGCTTGTCATACTCCAGTGTCTTCACCATAAGTAGCTGCAGGGGGCTGAATGGTGGCCACTAAAATGATACCTCCATATCCTAATGCCTGGGACCTGTGAATATTGCCTTATATGGCAAAAGATGTGATTAAAAGTCTTGAGAGAAGAAGTTTATCCTGAATCATCCAGGGGGTAGTAAATGCAATTACACATATTCTTGCAAGAGAGCCAGAGGGGGTGTTGAGATAAAAGAGGAGGCAGCAATGTAAAGACAGAGCACAAGCCAAAGAATGTCAAAAGCCAGCAGCAGCCAGAAAGGAAAGAATAGATTCAACTCTATAGCCTCTGAAAGGAGTAAGGCCCTGCTGAAATCTTGACTTTGGATTTCTTTCTTGCAAAACTATGAGAGAACAAACTTCTGTGGTTTTGAGTCACCATGTTTGTTACAGTAGCCATAGGAAACTAATACAATTAGATCTTTGAGAAATGAATCGATGTTATAAAAATGTAAATCAAGTAAGGTTGAGATTACATTCTCACCAACTAAACTCACACCTAAAGGCAAGACTGTGCTGAAACATTCCCACAATATCAATGGCACGATAGACTGATCTAAGTTTCTTTAGAAAGCATCGGAGAATTAATATTAAGTGCCATAAAAAATGTTCATTGCCTCTGATTAGTAGTATCACTCTTGTCAGTTATCCTAAATAATAGCTCAAAAATATCACTGCAAAAGAAAGAAAAGGAGGGAAAGAGGGAAAAGATAATATTCACTGATTTTATTAATAGGGAAGAAAAATCAGATTTAGAAAAACCCACAATTTTCACCAAAAGGAGGAATGGTTAAGAAAATGATGATGATTCATTGACACCAATGAGTATTACGAAAGTATCAGAAATTAGTTGTTATTCTAACTGTGTAAAAAAAAAAGGAGTATGTCAAGTATAGAAATATGAATTAAAATTATATGAACAGTATGGTTCCCAAACTGTGTGCCAAAGATTTCCATGAACTCAAAGGGTACTGTGGGATATTTTAAATATTTTTTGGGATACAGTAATACTCAACACCTGTTGGACTTCTAGGGCTATTAGTTCTAAGTTACAATATTAGATTTACCACATTTCTTTCGATTAAGTCATACTGTAAAGCTGAGCTTTTGGTAGATGCTATGATAAAAAGCAAGTATTATTAAAAAAATCAGAATATAGGAAATAAGGCTGGCATAATCCAATGTGATTCTAGTGCTCAACAAGTACACACATTCCATTTGTAAATAACTATGGTTATTATTATTTTTTTAACTATCTGTATTATTTTACCTGAACGGCCACTACGTTGTTAGAACATAAATTTTATTAAAGTCCTTGGACCTAACATTTAATAAATTGAATTTCTTTCGGCCTAGGGGGACAAGGATAAAACTAGCAAGACACTAGGGCTCCATGAATGAGAAAGTTTGGGAACCTGCGATGAAACTATTTGTTATGGCAGCCACAGGAAACCAATGATATGGTATAAAAAACTATTACCCCTATGATTTTAACTGCTTTCCTCATTTGCTGCTGTTCCCAAATATCTTGATTTTCATCATCTTGACTTTCTTCACTTCTGGTTGCTACCAAAAAAAAAAAAAAGAAATTCATGTATAAACATTCTATAATTTTTTATTCCATTAGCAGCAGATTATATTTTGGGGGCTTTTAAGATGCAGGTTTAGCAGCACTTTCTAGGCATGAACTTATCCTTCTCAACAATCCTGAAGAAAAGGCACTATATCACCCTCATTTATAAAATGAGGAAATTCAGGAACTAGGAGGTTAAATAACTTGTCTGAGAGCTATAATGAAGCTGGGACTTAAACCCAGTGATCTGGCTCCAGTATCTATACTCTTATAACCAAACTGTTCCATTCAAAACAATGCAGCCCTATGTAAGTATGTGTCACTTAATGTCCATGATACATTCTGTGAAATAGGGAGCAATGTAATTGGGACTTTGTGCCACCACCATATTAAAACTGTATGACAGTACTTCCATCTGTCCTTACTGTTGCTACTGCTGCTGCCACCACTGCTAGCAAAACCTGGAGGAATGGGCAGCAGCAGTGGGCAACAGGAATGAAGCAAGGGGAAACCAGAGGAGAGGGAGCAGAGCATGCCTAGCCCTGCCCACCCACCCAGTAGACAAAGCACGAGCCCATGCCCTGATTCACGTCCTCTGCCTCATGTGGCTGTTATCACACCTGTCCAGTGTTGCAAGAGTCTGAGTATGGGATCTTTAAAACTATCAGGGGGAAATAATAAACAAAAGGAGAGCTTTGTTCAACAAAACCTTATGGGACAATGGACATATATGTGGTCAAATGTTTTCTGAGTGGACATTAAGCAATACATATCTGTTCATGGAAAACACTTAGAAAGAATGAATTGATTTTGCTTATTAATGAACTCTAAATCCAAACATTTATAAATAATAATTTCTGTGTTATAAGGAAATAACATTCTCATTCTGAAAAAATATTCTTTGAAGTGACAAAAATCTTAGTAAAATGTTTATTATTGCTTATAGATGAGAAATGTGAAATAGTTCAGAATTAAGGATTTTTTTTTTTTTAGCTGAGTAGGGAGCATTTTAACACACAACTAAAATATCTGTAAATGCTTCTATATTTAAAAAATCTTTATAAGATGACAATGGTGGTTTTCAAAGTTTGAAAAATAAGACTACAATTTTTGTTTTTTTAACTTGTCAAATAGGCAATAGTAAACCACATTACACACATGCACAGATATGGCTTTTAGGGGCCTTAAGGTCACTGGACCAAATTGATATGAAATAAAAATCAACATCAACACAGCTTTACCATATGACACTAATCTATACTTTTATAGGAATTTTCTTACAATATGGTATTCTAATGAAAATGCCTTAACTTTATGTACTGATAAATAAATACATACTTGTTTCTTCAGTCATTCTTTGTCGAAGTGTTTGAGGCTTTGGGGTAAATGATATTCTTTCTTCATGGTCATCAGGCTCACTCTCAGTATCTTCATCACTGTTTTTCTTTGTATCAGAGATGTTGGAGGTCTGTTTTACATCCAAAGAAATGTAGTCATCTTGGGCCCTGGCCAGTTCACGTTTTCTGCGGGCTGCCTTAATGAAGGCTGCATCAGGGATCCTAACTGAATGAAACAAAGGGGACACTGAAAACCAAATGCCAACAAAAATAAATATTCTTCATATTTAAACAAAGAAAATGCACCATTTTTCCAACTTTTTTTTTTTTTACTACTTTGATACATGCATGTTATCAATAATACATGCACAAATAAATAGCACAAAAGCTGTATCAATAAAGGAAGTAATTAAATTGACAGAGATTGCATATAATTTAGAGAAATGAATAAAACCTAGAGAAGTATCAGAAAATATACTAAAAACAATCCAGTCTATCGTTTAACTCTTTTACTCATCAGGGGCTGTTGCTGACTTTTGGTTGAGGGTTAGCTATTTCTCATTCCAGAAGCTCTGAGATGGTCAGGGTAAGGATGTGGAGAAGGTTAAGTATGGAATACCTCAGTAAGAGAGAAGTGCAGAGGTTAGATGATCTGATGACAAAAGCAAAACAAAACTAAACTCATGCCATTGAGTTGATTCCAACTCACAGTGTCCCCCACTGGGTTTCCAAGGCTGTAAATCTTTATGGAAGCAGACTGCCCTATCTTTCTTCCATGGAGTGACTGGTGGGTTCAAAGCACTGACCTTTTGGGTAGCAGCCAAATGCCTTAACCACTACACCACCAGAGTGACATATGAGTCTAAATTACAAAGAAAGAGGAATAGGTAGTTCCCGACTTGGGACATATTTGAGGTACAATAAACTGCCCTTAACAATATTCAGTGAATCTGGAACACTGCATCTTCCTGGGAGGAAGTTACAAGAAAATGCATGCAGGGGAAATGGAAAAAACTGCCGCATTATATGAACACACTTTTGGTTACTATGAACAGACTCCAAGAATATGATCAGGATAATACAATAAAAGAGAGGAGAGGGAAATCATCCACATGGCAAGGAAGATGAATTTAGAACTTGGTATTGCTGATGTGGAACAGATCACAAAAAAGGGGAATTAACAGCTTAACACTGAATGGATTTTGAAGAGGAAAGAAATGCTAAACAAGAAAGACATAATGAGGAAGAGAAAGGAGAGAAGTTGTCAAAAAATTTTACAGTGAAAGAATTGGTTGGAGTTTTTTCTCAACTAAATCGGGGGCTTCCACTGCTTGAAAACATGGATCTAAACACTGATCGCTTTGCTAAAGTCAAAAGGCATACTCAGGAAGCAGTGAGATGTTACCATGAAACATATGAAGAAAAAAAGAAAAGGTTCATATAACAATTAATTCTAATTTTCTGATTAGAAACACCATCCTCATCCCCAGGGATAATCTAGATGACTCAGAACCTTTTACAAGCGGAGTTATTACTGCAACTGACAAAATGCCAACACTGTCCAACTCTTCTTCACTGTCAGAGTAAATGTTTATATTTTTTTACGTATTATGTATTAAAATACAACTCTAAGTTTATATGTAATGATTTTAATGCCCAAAGACAAATAAAGATCAGATTTATAAAGATATTGATAAGAGAAGGCAATTATAATGAAAATTACAAAAAAAAAATCGAGGTATTTGACTTAAATCAGAGCCAACTTACAATGAAGCTGTCAGAATGAAACCCAGTCATAGGTTGGGGACTACCTTTATTACCGCCCTATGGGCATTCAGGAATATAGAGTGAGAAACAGTCTATAACTGGAGCACAATAAAATAAACCTCTAAAATCCTGCAGTTTGTCCCACATGAATAAATGTCAGTTGAGCTGTACCAATGTTTAGACACTAGGTTATGTCCCTCTATTCTAGAGAGATGAGGAACTACCAGCTTACCTTTTTATTTCATTTGCAGTTACTTTATACAGTTGACATGAACAGTTAATTTTGATATTTGGACAATCAATAGTAACAATTTACTTGCCCTTTACTTCAGTAGAGTTTGTTATACCATCAATATTGAGAAACACTGGTATAGAAAATACTGACATTAGAAAAAAAGTTATTAATCAAAGTTACAAAAATTACCAACCTACTGATGAAAACTCTTTTTCTTCTGGAGAGCTACAGTTGTTGGAAGATGAACTCTGCTCATCCTTACTTTCAGAGGAGTGACGTATTCCATCCTCTTCATCAGCTGACAGTTCAATTGTTCTGGATTCTAGTAGAGTATTTTCTGAATCTAACAAGAGTCAAAATATTGGAATCAATTACTGAAATTCAAACAACATATGGTGTATATGTAATATGGTGTTTTAATATTACTCCATATCTAAAGTAAACATAAAACATCTTTTCCAACTTTGTCTTTCTGAAACCAATGAGTAGTCTAATAAACACACAAGGACTTACCCTATTTGTACTATCGACTTATCTAATAAAATACTCACAAAGGATGCAGAGAAGAAGGAAGGGAACTTTAGAAGAAAAAAGAAAAGCACAAAACCGAAGGACGCTCTAGAACAGAAGACAGAAATGGTGTTGCTGTTAGGCACTATTGAGTCGGTTCTGACTCATAGTGACCCAATGTACAATAAAACGGAACACTGCCCAAGCCTTGGTCCTGTACCATCCTCACCAATGTTCCTTCAGCCCATCTTCATAGCTACTGTGTCAACCCATCTCGTTGAAGGTCTTCTCCTTTTTTGGTGACCATCTATCTTACTTTACCAAGCATGATATCCTTCTCCAGGGACTGGTCCCTTCTGACAACATGTGAAGTCAAAACTACTTCCATCATAACATTAACATGCTATATGCCTTTGCCTGCTAACCAGAAGGCTGGCGGTTCAAACCCACCAGCTACTCCTCGGAAGGAAGGTTGGGCAATCTACTTCCATAGTGATACTACCTCAGAACCCAAGGAGGGGTCGCTATGAGTTGGATCCAACTCTACAGCAGTGAAGTGTGTTAGTAGTATTTACATAAAGAAGCAAAAGTGGTGTTGGATACAACTGCTGATTCCTCAGAATGAATCAAGGTAGTGATACCAATCTGTAGTAGCAGTGATTATGTTCTTCACCACCATCACTGGCAAAAAAACAAAATAGAAAAGTTTCACTTAACCAAACCCAACCCACTGGCATCGAGTCAATTCCAATTCCCAGTGACCCCCACTGGGTTTCCAAGGCAATCAATCTTTAAAGAAGCAGACTACCTCATCTTTCTTCCATGGAGTGGCTGGGGGGTTTGAACCACTGACATTTTGGTTAGCAGCCCAATGCCTTAACCACTGCACCACCAGAGCTCCTTGGTTTCACTTAAGAAGGTTCTTAATACCATCAGAGAGATGCAAATCAAAACAACAATGAGATCCCACCTCACCCCAGCATTGATTGCAAGGTTCAACGAGACAGAAAATAACAAATGCTGGCAGGGATGTGGAGAGATTGGGACTCACACACTGCTGGTGGGACTGTGAAGTGATACAACCACTGTGGAAAGCAATATGGAGATTCCTTAGAAAGCTGGAATTGGAGATACCATTTGACTCAGCAATCCCATTACTAAGTATATATCCTAGAGAGATGAGAGTCAGGTCAGGAACAGATATATGCACATCCATGTTCATTGCAGCACTATTTACAATAGCAAAGAGATGGAAACAACCTACGTGTCCATTAGCGGAAGAGTGGATGACCAAACTATGGTACATACACATAATGGAATGCTATGCAGCACTAAAGAATGTAGAGTCTGAAAAACACTGCATAATATGGATGAACTTGGAGGACATTATGCTGAGTGAAATAAATCAATCACAGAAGGACAAATAGAGTATTAGTTTGTTGTTGTGGAGGGTCAAGAAAAGGTTTATATATGGTGGGAAACTTTCCTTGGTTGCCAGGGGTGGGAAGGGAGGGGAGGGAATAACACAAAACAAAAACAAATGCATTGACCCATGTCACTTTAGTTTTGTATATTTCACCGTACATAAATTATATTTCAACAAAATGCATTATAAAAAAAGGTTCTTAATGAAGCAATACAAAGATATTAATCTTTTTCAATCTCAATCCTTGAGTACTCATTTATTTTTTATTGTACTTTAGGCAAAAGTTTACACAGCAAATTTTCCCTTTGAACAATTTTCATATAAGCTGTTTTGTGTCATTGGCTACAATTTGTACAATGTGTCAGCATTCTCATTATTTTCATTCTGTTTATTCTGGATCCATTGATCTAGCTTCTTTTTCCCTCCTTGCCTTCTATTTTATACTTTTGGGTAAATGTTAACTGTTTGGTTTCATACAGCTAACAGGGACACATTACTGTTTATTTTATAACCCAATCTATTGTTTGGCCGAAAGGTGACTGGGAGTGGTTTCAGTTTTAGGTTAAAAAGGTGTCTTAGGGCATTAGTCTCAGGGGTTCCTTCCTCAGTCCAGTAAGTCTGATCTTTTTTATGAATTTGAGTTTTGTTCTCCATTTTTCTCTATCCAGGACCATCTGTTGTGTCCTTGGTCAGAACAGTTGGTAGTGGTAGCTGGGTGCCATCTAATTCTTCCATTCTCAGGTTAGAAGAGACTGTGGTTGTGTGGGCTAAACAAGTCCCTTGGACTGGTTTCTTCTTTGTGACTCTGATTTTTTTCATTCTCTTTAGCTCCATATGACTAGAGACCAATAGTTGTACCTTAGATGGCTGCTCGTAATATTTTAAGACCCCAGATGCTACTCAACAAACTACCATGTAAAACATTATCTTTGTGAACTGTTATGCCAAGTGACCAAGTTGTCCCGTTAAACTATGGTGCTAAGCTTCTTGACCCAGTAACAAATCCCTCAAGTTATTTAGATATGTCTAGGAAGCCTTGGTAATTGTGCCCGCTACATGGTTTGTTACATATGTGGATATATATGCAATACACACATATATGTGTATCCATATATGCTTACAGATACACCTGTACATGCATGTGCATTTACTCATATATGCCTTTCTATACACTATATGCATCCATGTTATCTATATAACCATATACATATTTTTTGGTGGATTTTACTGTTGTTGCAAAATTGTATATGTTATAGCATTTTATGTACCTTTATAGCCTACTACCATAGCATATTAATGTACCTTTTCTTGTGTACTTCTAAATGTAACTTGACATTGGTCAAGTTGTGCTGACTTGACCCATATTTGGGGTTGCCTTTCCCATCAACAAAAGTAGTAAGTGTTTACTATCTATAAAGTGATTGTTCCGCCTTCTCCCTCCCATCCCTGGTAACCACCGAAGAACTTTGCTTTTTGTGTGTATATCTGTTCTTGACTTTTTATAATAGTGGGACCATACAATATTTGCCTTTTTCTGATTGACTTACTTCACTTAGCATAATGTTCTCCAAATTAATCCATTTTGTAAGACATGTCGTGGACCCCTCATTATTCTTTATGTAGTATTCCATTGTATGTATGTACCACAATTTGTTTATTCATTAATATGTTGATGTGCATTTAGGTTGTTGTGAATAATGCTGCAATGAACATAGGTGTGCATATTTATGTATTTATGTCACTGATCTTATATCGCTAGGATATATACTTAGTGGGAGATTGGTGGTGTAGTGCCTAAGGCATCTGACTGCTAACCAGAAGACTAGTGGTTCAAACCCACCAGCCACTCCTCAGAAGGAAAACAAGGCAATCTACTTCCATAGAGATACGGCCTCAGAAACCAAAGGAGGGGTCACTATGAGACGGAATCGACTCAACAGCAATGAGTTTTTATATATTTAGTTGTGGAATTGCTGGATCATAAAGTATTCCTATTTCTAGCTTTTTGAGGAAGTACTGTATGATTTTCTATAGTGGTTATACCACTTTACAATCTCACCAGCAATGTATAAAAGTTCCAATCCCCCCACACCCTCACCAGCATTTGATGTTTTCTGGTTTTTTTTTTTTTTGATCACCATCATGTTTACATGGGTGAGATGGTATCTCATTGTAGTTTTGATTTGTATCTTTGTAATGGCTAATGGAAGCAATAGAGTCGTAATAAATTACAAGATAGGGCTTTTCTAGACATAGTCTTTGTAACTCCCCCTTTGCCATGAGTAGCTGATTGTTAAGGTTAAGAAATAAACCACCTGGTTTATTTCTGTTGGAGCAGCAGGAAGCAATCTTCTGGGAAGTTCGCTCTCTCTCAAGGTGTATAGACTTCTGATGTTGGGATTGGTTGGTTTTGGCCACCCTGCCAGGCTCAAAAAAGAGCCCTCTTAGAGGCAGGAAGAGGGACTCTTTCACTGCCAGCTGAGATGCACTGCTGAGACAAAGGGACATGAGAGACATGCACTGCTGAGAGGAGCATTTTGTTAGTGCTACTGAGAGAGACTACGGGCTATTCAGTGAGCTGAGAGAAGCTGAGCACATTCCTTAACTTGAATTGTACCCTGTTGCTGTCCTAATAAACCCCATAATCTGTGAGTTCCGTGTGGCCACTGCAGCTAATTATCTAACTCAGCAGAGAGGTCATGGGTACTGCAGGAAGACCAGCTGGTAACAAGGTTAGTAAGAGAGTTGGAGGGTGGCGGCATGTCTGGCCTCCTAAGAACAGGGCTTGGGGTACTGATGGTGATTGTCTTCTGCTTGGAAGGAGGTTAGAAGATGTTGCCCCCCTGCCCCTTGGGCAGCAATCATCTTTTAGTGTATTTGTTGGCCACGTGAGTGTCTTCTTTGGTGAAGTGTCTGCACATGTCCTTTGCCCATTTTTGAATGGATTGTCTTTTTGTCAAGTTGTTGAAGTTCTCTATATATTTTAGAGATCAGACCCTAATGAGACCCTTATCATTTGCCAACAATTTTTTCCCAGTCTGTAGGTTCTCTTTTTACTCTCTTGGTGTAGTCTCTTGATGAGCATAGTATTTTATTTTCAGGAGATCCCAGTTAACTAATTTATCTTCTGCCATTCGTGCATTTTTAGCTTTGTTTGATAGGATATTTATGCTGAAAATTAAGTTCCCTACTTTTGACTCTATGATAATCTTCTAGGAGCTTTGTAGCTGTAACCTTTACATTTAGTTTTTTTGATCCAGTTTGACTTGGTTTTTTGTGCATGGTGTGAGGTATAAATGCTGATTCATTCTTCTGCATATGGATAAACAGTTTTGCCAGCACCATTTGTTAAAGAGACAGTTTTTTTTTTTTTTCTCGATTGAATG